CTCTGACAAATTTTATAACAACCCATCATTCAATTGTATTAAAGCACACTTGTACATATGTTGCCATCCCCATTTCCAAGACATTTTCTTTCTACTTGAACCCTTGGTATCAGCTCCTCTTTTTTTCCCCTGCCACCCTTGTGAATCCTTAATCAATTATTTATTATTATTGCTATTTCGTGTCTTACACTGTCCGTTGTCTCCCTTCACCACATTTCTGTTATTCGTCCCCCTGGGGGTGGGGTGGGGGGCTATATTGTGATGGGTTTCCCCTTTCACCACCTTCGCCCCCCCACTAGCCCCCCTACCGTCATGATATGGCTGCTCCCACTACTGTTCCTGAGGGTTTTATCCATCCTGAATTCCACGTGTCCAGAGCGTTTATCTGTACCATTGCGTGTGCTCCAGTCTTGTAGGATTTGTGTTCCGCCGGTGCTATACTGCACCCTGGTTGAAGCGTCCCTTCCCTGTAACCCTTCTGTGGGCCGATAGCCAATTGTCTGAAACTAGCTCTTGACGAGAGTAGACAGCCCCATCTTTCTCCGACTGAAATACCAATCCAAACCAAACTCACGGCCATACAGTTGGCGCCAACTCATAGCGACCCTCTAGGGCAGGGTAGAACTGCCCTTGTGGGTTTCTGAGACTGTAACTCTTTATGGGAGTGGAAAGCCTCGTCTTTCTCCCATGGAGTGGCTAGTGGTTTCAAACTGCTGGCTTTATGGGTAGCAGTCCAAGCCAAGAAGGTCCTCCTGAGCCAGTCAACCAGAAGAGACCCAGAGAGCAGCGCTGACCCCGAAGGACACTTCCATTGAAATAACAATTTTTTGTTTTTCTTTTTTTTGGGGGGGTGGTGGTGGTGGTGGTGGAGTTTGACCTTGCAGAACTCCTGAGCTATCTCAGGGAACTCAAGGGCGTCCAGGCGGTGCTTCCAGAGCTGCCACCCAGGGCCCTAAGCCCATGGTGGGCCCCCTTTTTCAGACGAGGACCCAGCTTCAGAGAGTTTCAGTAACTTGCCCGGAGTCACACAGGCAACAGGTAGCAGTCCAGTGCAGTGCTGGACAAGCCCTGCACCTCCCTCCCTGACCTTGTCCCCTTATGGTAGCTTTTGGGCCTCTCAGACCCTTGGCCCCCACCCCATTCGCTAGCTGCCCCTGGAGAGCTGCCCCTTGAGGTCACTTGCTGTATGGAGGCCCATTCTCCCTGTCCTGCTGTCACCGGAGGGAGGGCTAGCTGGGGGGATCAGAGGGCCTGGGTTCTCGACCTGGCTTTGCAGTGGGGCTAAAGGTACATGCAGCAGGAATGGCCTTGAATGGTGGGTATGATGAGGTCACAGGTCACAGAGAGATCCTGATGTCCCAGTGCCCTCACTTTGGTGGTCTTTGGGCAGTGTCCCCCGTGCTGTGTTCAGGCTTCCCCCATAGAAGGCCTGCTGGGTGAGTGCCCTCGGGGTGCCGTCCTTAGCGCCCTGGGAAAGGTGTGGAGGGGGAGAGAGGCATGCCTTGTTGGACTGTCCTGCTGACGGTGTGTGGTGTGTTTGTGTGCTTGTCTGTCTGTGTTTGCTACCTAGGAGCCGAGGGCTGGGGAGCCAGAAGTCGTGGTGGCTCAGAGCACCCCGCACAATGGACCCCAAGGGGGGTCCTCCTGAGCCCAGAAGATGGGGAGGAGCTCACAGCACCAGGTACCGCCCCCCTGCCTGCCTGCGCTGGCCCTGTGTTATTGTGCTACTGCTGCCATAGCGACGTGCATCAGCTAGGGAGCGCACACACTCCTGCAGGTCAGAAGTTCAAAATGGCCCCATGGGGCTGAAGTCAAGGTCAGCAGGGCCGTGTTCTTTCCGGAGGCTCTAAGGACAGATCTGTTTCCTGGCCTTATCCAGCTGCTGAAGGCTGCTCACATTCCTGTCTCGTGGCCCCTTCCTCTCTTCAAAGCCTGCAAAGGCCGGATGAGTCTTTCTCAGACTGCATCCCTCTGACGCTGGCTCTTCTGCCTCCGTCCACATTGCGGGACCCTTGTGATTACCCAGGAGCCCCAGAGGCATCGTGGTTATGCAGTTGGGCCACTTGCCGCAAAGTCAGCAGTTTGAAACCACCAGCTGCCCTACGGGAGAAAGATGAAGCTTTCTACCCCCGTGAGGAGTTGCTGTCTCTAAATCGTCAGGGACCGTTTGAGTCTGTCCTACAGGGTCGCTGTACATCAGGATGGACTAGACGGCAGTGAGTGTTTTCAGTTTTGCGATTCCACTGGGTGCCCCTGGGTAGTCCCAGACCAGAAAGCTCCAAGTCACTGCCATGAAGTGGCAAGTCAGACGCATGTCGACCTTGGCCCCCGTCGATTTCTGAGACAGTAGCTCCTTATGGGGGTAGGAAGCCTCTTCTTGCTCCCAAAGAACTGCTGGTGGTTTCAAACTGTTGACCTTGAGGCTGGCATCTCAGTACGTACACCACCAGGGCTCTGCTTGCTTTCAGATCCATTGACTAGCGGCCTCAGCCCCACCTACACCTTCCCAGACCCCCTGTTCATGGAGCCTGCCGTTCACTCACACGCACGCTCCACTGTGTCATTGGACTTCACCGCAAAGCACAAGTTCAAAGGCAAAACTGTCAAGCTGGTCAGGAGAGTGACGGTGGAATAGTAAGCTGAGCTCGGGGCCCTGAGGGACTGGTACACATGCGTGTAGAAGAGGAGATCCCTGTAACAGGCATGACTCCAGGGCCTTGCTCCCCAGTCACATAGAGTGTCTGCCATCAGGAAAGGTGGGCAGGGTGCCCTTAGCATCCGCCAGACAGGGAGCCATTGTGCTGCCGTCTTAGAGAGGTGTTAGCTTGTTTAAATGTTTGCTTGCCAATAAAAGCCACATCACTATTGAAGGACCAGAGAAACAAAAGCTAAAGCCACCTTCTCTTGTTTTCAGAGAAGTTCCTGGGAGATCAGAGGTTCAGCTATGGGCAGCTCCTCACTCTGACCTTCAGGGCGCCCCCGGGGGCTGCCCCACTGCCTGTGCAGCTGAGGCTGGAAGGGGCAGGCTTGGCTTTGTCTCTGTTGCCTAGCAACCTATCCAGCCCCCAGGACACTGGGCAGCCTGGAGAGGTGCAGCTCAAGTTTCAGTAAGTGTGCCCCTCTGTGCCAAGGTGGGTGGCAGGGTCCCCGCGTTGGGCTCAGAGGTCTGCAAATAGTCCCCACCCCACCCCAGCCCACCCCTTGCCGTCTGGGGTGCCAGTGCTGTTTCCAAGGCCCCTACCCTCCCTCCCTCTGCCTGCGGATTCTGGCAGCCACCTGCCCCCACGCTTGGGTTCTCATCTTGACCCTTCTCCCTGCCAGGATGCAGGAAACCTCAGAAGATACAGAGGCTCCGCTGCCCGCCTTCCACTTCCAGAGACTCCTGGCCAATCTCACCACACTGGGCATCCGGGTCAGCAGCCCAAGGCCAAGTCCTCCAGGTCAGTAAGGATGCTGCCAGCTGCCAGGCACAGGAGAAGCCCCGCAGCAGGGGTGATTGCCCCCATCCACCTGCACTCAGAGTCCGGGTCACTGCCCGCAGACCGACAGTCAGTATGGGCAGTGGAGCTGGCTGTTGAGGCAGAGGCGGGAATGGTCCGGTGCCGCTGCTGAGGTAGACAGTTCAGAGCGGCAGATCCCAGGCCGACAAGGCAGCCAAGAACCATTGGATACTGTCGCTGCACCATCACAGAAGCCACCATCACTAGGGGCATGGGTCTCTGCCTCCACCCCCACCCTACTGGTCAGGGCCAGCCCCACCCTACCCCACCGGGCAGGCCAGGAGCCCACCTGCGGAGCAGGTCCCCCTCCTGGCCACTAGTGAGCTCACACCTAAGCTGCTTCACCAGAACTTGAAACTGAACCCCCAGCGAATAGATTCGGACTCATGGTGGCCCTGCTCTGGGGACTGGCTGTCTGCGTTGAGTTGCTTCCTCCTGACTCATGGTGACCTGTCATGTCCACAGTAGAGCTTTTCCAAAGGGTTTGCTTGCTTGTAATCTTTACAGAGACAGTTAGCCAGGCCTTTCTCCCACCGGGCTGCTAGGAGCAGGGTGCTAAGTCAACACACATCACTGATCTGTATTTGTGTCCACCCCTTGCCCGGTCACATAGGGATTCCACCTCCTACTGGCATGACACGGTGGTCCCCTGCCCTGCCCCTGGCTCCTTCCCTCCCCATAATGCACTTGTCTTCCCCCTTGGGCGCTCACTTGCTCACCCCATACCCAGCTGCATGTGCCTGGACTGGGGATCCCATGGGGCCTCCGCCTGGAGCTTTGGGGTCTGCTGCTGCTGACCCCTCTCCCGCCGAATGCTGCGGGCAGGCCTGACCAGGCAATGCTTCACTCTGCGGCGGAGACTGGGCGGTTTGTTATTAAAAACTCGAAATGGGTTTTTATTATTGGCACCGCGGTGGGCTGAGTGTGCTGGGCTGGGTTCTCTGGAGAAGCACCAGGAGTGGCACCGCTACATGCGTACCAAGAGAAGTGCACCGAGAGAAGAGTGGCTCTTGTATGAGCCCCTAATAAAATGTTAAAAAAAAACAATAAAATAAAAAAAAGAAGAAGAATGGCTCATGGGATCGGAGAGCGGCAAAACCCGGCTGGCTGTCAGATACTGCGCTGGAGGCTTTTCCTGACTGGCGTGGCTGCCTGGAGCCAGAGCTCGGAGATCAGAGGCCGGGAGAGGCAGAGACGGGCCCGCTAGATCAGATGGCATCGCGGCTGCCGCAACAAGCACAAGTCCCGAGAGACCAGATGGAGGATCCCAGCCAGCAGGAAGGAAGTAGAGAAAAGACACCGTTCTCGGCAGCACCTCTTTTATATAGATATCAAAACGGACCACACCCCCCACGCCCCCCCACACACACCCCCGAGGAGATGTCATCAGGCCTGTAAGCGAAACGCGTTCACATTAGCACAGTGTGTTGAGGCTGGGTTCTAGAGAAACAAAGCCAGGCCCCTTATAGATATACATACATATGTATGTATGTATAAGAGGATAGGTTTACACCACGGCAAGGAATATAACAGCTAATTAGTCCACACAGCAGTACAGAAGGCTCATTGCAGTTCACTTTCGTGGAACAGTTAATATACTGGAAGTCCTTCAACTCACATGGTCCAAGGTCAAAGAAGCAGACAGAGGAGTCCTCCCTTGGGTAAGGGTGGCAGAATCTGCCTGCAGGCGGCAGGCAGCAGATCAGCAACAATTAGTAGCTCGGGAGCTTAGCAAAGCAGGCCCGGATGGGATATCGAACTCAAGTAACGCAAGATGACAGGAAACACCAGCCTCAAGCTCAAGGAATGTCAGCACCAGCAGCGTTGGGAAGCAGGTCTCAAAGGAGCCTCAAGCTCTAGCAACGTGATCCATGGGTTGGCTGTCCCACAGGTAGTGTAGCACACAGGTTGAGGCAGAGAACTAGTTAAAGCAGCAGCACGCTGGTCCAATCACCAGAGAGCAAGAGCTGTGCCTCCAGTGGGAGACTTACTGCCAAACCGTGGAAACTCTCGGCCAGGCCAAGTTAACACAACACCTAATTGTCACAAAAAGCAATACAGAAGCCAAAACCAAACCCACTGCCATCGAGCTGACCCGAACCCTCGGTGACCCAACAGAGCACATGAGAACTGCTCCACAGCGTTCCCAAGGCTGTGAATCTGTGAGGCAGCAGATTGCCCCATCTGTCTCCCCCCAAGCAGCGGCTGGTGGTCTCAAACCACCAGCCTTGCAGTTAGCAACCTGGTGCTTAACCCACTCTACCACCAGGGCTCCTTAACGCACTGCAGGCTTGTGTGAAAATCCCAACAGCATAAATGCATTGGTGTCACTGATTTTCAGTGTTGCTTCTTCTTTTCCTCGATCATGGATTTCCATTCTGATCTTAGTGACTTTCTCTCCTCTTCTGGGAGGCTTATCTGTTCTGCTTTAGCTCATCTCTTTAGGGTGGGAGCTGAGGTCACGGACCCTCTTTTCTGATGGGGCATCCGGATGTATCCTTTCTCCCCACTGCACCCCGCGGGATGGTTCCCATGGCACCTCCCCTCCCCAATTGTGAGATGGTGTGTCTCGCTTCACAAAGTTCATAGTGGATCACCCTTGCCTCCAGAGCGGGTCACAGTTAACTACTGGGGGCTGACCTAAGGATGCTAAGCAGATGTGGGCGCACACAGACGGTTTTTGTCAGGGTCTCGTGTCCTGGAAGGCGTACAGGGTGACCATCGTCCCGTGGCGTGAGAAATGCACCAGTCCATGCTGGCAGAGACCTGATCACAGCCCAGAGATGGGGAGAGCATATGAGCAGAATTCTTCCACCTGCTCCTGTGCTCCCTCCCACGCCCCCCGTCCTCCTCGCTGGGAGAAGGAGTCTCACTGTTTCGAACGGAAACAGGGAACATGGGAGGGAGTGGGAGGCACCATGTTGTATGGGGTTAAAGGGAAGAGGGAACCCCACAAAACATCACAGGTTCGGTAGGCGCAATTGTACGGTGATAATAAGTAGAGATTATAGTAAAGTCATAGAGAGCATGAGAGTTAAAGGATGGAGTCAAGTAATGGAGTCAGACGCAATTCATGGTAGCATATCTCACCTCAGCCCCGCTTGATGGTCCTCGTGGAGGGGGCTTAGCCCCCTCAGAGAAGAAGCCACTGCTTCGTCCTCCTTAGTCACCTTCTCCAGTCACCCTCTGCCAGCCACCCTCTGCCAGCCACCCTCCACCAGTCACCCTCAGCCAGCCACCCTCTCAAGAACCAGGGAGCCTCCTTATTTATTGCTAACCACGCATCATATTACTTTAGGGGGATCTGATTACAGAGTCATAACATCACAGAAAGGGGCAATGCAATTCATTCTAGAACAAGTTTGGTCATTCTGGTGTCTCATGCAATAAAACAGACAATTACTATTCTGGGAGGCACGCAAGTCCCCTGATAGCAGACAATAACCTGAGTCACAGGGAGGGGTAGCGACATAGGCAATACAATCAATAGGAGGGGGTGACCTAGGGGTGTGCCCACATTGGTTGTGGGATAAACAGTGGTGTCTGCTTGATCTAGACAGCTGATAATGGCTAGCTAACCTTGGTCATCCTTGGGCTGGTTTGCCCTCTCTGGTATCTCCTGCAAGTGAACAGACCACCATTATCCTTATCAGAAGGGAGTGGGTCTTATTTAGGGTGAGTCTGACTAATAGTTTAGCCACTATAGATGGCTGATGTTAAGGAGAATAACCTCTGACCTACTTTCACTGACCACCTATTGTACAGTCACTCTTAAGCAGCTAAGTCTGGTACATATTTTGGGGAGACAACTTAAGAGAAATCCTTCTGTTCCTCACAACGTTGCATCGTGGGGATTGCAATCAGTGACGTGAGACAGAAGGCATATGGGCTGTCGAATGGAAAACTGGTCGGCTCTGCAACCCTGCATGCAACCCACAATGAAAAGTGGAACTCCCTCGGGGAAGCATTAGACTGCTGATGTGGTTCGGGTTCAAACGTCCCCCCTGCTCTGAGGGAGAAAGATGAGGCTGTAAAACCCTCTATCGAGCTGCCAAGAGTGAGAACTGAGCCAACTCGCTGGTGGTGGGTTTGGGAGTTGTTGCTGTTCAGGGCCCTCGAGTCGGTGCTGGTGCAGAGACCCTGTGCACAGCAGAACGGAGCACGGCCCGTCCTGCGCCACCCTCGCGGTGACCGTGTCTGGCCCATCGCCATGATCGCCTTCCTTTCTTATGTGTTACATACATGTTTCCTCGATAACATATATGCTCATGTATACTATAGTGTTATCTCTATGTGTCTTTTTTAAGTGTACAATTCCGTGACCTGCGCTATTGTGTTAATCTGGGTAGACTAGAGAAACAAATTCATAGACACACACATATGTGTGTAAGGAAGAGGCTTATATACAAGAGGAATTGAACACTGAGAAAACATCCCAACCCAGTCTAGGGCATAAGTCTGATATTAGCCCACATGTCCGATACCAATCTATAAAGTCCTCTTCAGACTCACGAAACACATGCAATGAAGCCAAATGCAGGACGATCACAAGCCAGTGGGTAGAAAGTCTTTGGGTCCAGTGGCGTTGTAAGCATCTCAGCGCTGGCAGGGGTCTCTCTGTGGCTTCTCTGGCTTCAGAAGTCTGGTTCCATCCATGTGGCTTATCTTCTGCAATGTCTCCCAGGGAGTCGCAGAGAGAGAGAGGTGTCTTCCACCTCCAAGGAGGAAGTACCAGATTTCCCAGAATTCTCAGGAGAAGGCCATGTCCATGCAGAGGTCTCATTGGCTATCTCCAGAATGACAGCCTAGACTCCACCCCTACACTCTTAATCCTTCAATTGACACTAGATTAGGTGACTACCACAGCTATCTATTTATAAAGCTTGTTCATCACCTCAAACAGAAACTCAGGACTCGTTGAGCTAGAATTCCTCCTCCCTACACACACACACACACACACACACAACCATCCAGTCGATCTGACTCATAGTGACCCTCTATAACAATCTAGACCTGCTCCTGTGGGTTTCCGGGACTTGCAAACCTTTACCAGAGTAGAAAGCCTCATCTTTCTCCCTCGGAGAGGCTGGTGGTTTTCCGGCTGCTGACCTTATGGTTAGCAGCCAGGCTCGTGCCTCACTATGCCACCTGGGCTCACTTTCTCCTGCTCCTCGTCGCCGAAACCACAAATCGACCTTTGTTGCTGGCCTCTTATCTGCTCTAGATCTTTCCTGTAAGTGGGGCCACACGGTATCCGTCCTCCTGTATCTGACTTCGTTGGCGCAGCATGGCTCCCTGGTCCGTCTGTGTCAGATGTCAGATGTTGCTCTTCGTGGCTGAATAAGATTCCATGGGTGGCATAGGCCACGCTGTGCCTGTCCCTTCACCAGCTGTTCCCACCTGGTGTCTACCGTGTTTCCCCGAAAGTAAGACATCCCCCCAAAATAAGACCTACTTACAGTTTTGCCTCTCACTGAAATATAAGGTGTCCCCCCGAAAATAAGACCTCCCCGAAAATAAGCCCCCCTGAAGCTACCATGACTCTGGACTGTAGCGGCGGGGCGCCGCCACGCAGCTCACTGTTGGCCGCAGCGCAGCCAAAGCAGACAGGAAGTGCGAGGTCTCTTTTAGTAAAACAATAAACAATAAATGTGTACCGTATTCTTCTTCATGGAAAAATAAGACATCCCCTGAAAATAAGACCTAGCGCATCTTTGGGAGCAAAAATTAATATAAGACACTGTCTTATTTTTGGGGAAACAGGGTAGCACCAACCATGCTGCTGTGGGCAGCTGTGGGCAAGCATATGGCGCGCCACCTGTTTTCACTTCTTTGGGGACCACAACGAGGGGTGCAATGGCGGGGCTGTGTGATAACGGCGTGTCCCCTATGGAGGGCCCTTCCAGCTGCTTTCCCATAGCAGCTGCACCAGTTACCCCTCCCACCGGCCGTGAACCAGGGCTGATGGCCCCGTGGGAGAAAGGTAAGGCTGGCCACCCCTGTAAAGGGTCACAGCCTCAGAAACCCTGTGTGGGGTTCAATGAGTCAGAATTGACTGCATGGCAGTGGATTGGGGTGCTTGTTGGGGAGGGGGGCTGGAGAGGGGGTAAGGCGGTGTCTCACTGTGGTTTGGATTTGCATTTGCCTAATGACTGAGCCCACAGGATCCCTGGCGGTGCAGTGGTCACGAGTTGGGCTGCTAACGGCAAGGTCGGCAGTTCAAAACCACCAGCTGCTCCTCGGGACAAAGATGAGGCTTTCTATTCTCGTAAAGAGTTAGAGTCTGGGGAATTCACAGGGACAGTTGTGCCCTGTCCTGCCCGGGCGCTATGCGTCGGCTCTGACTTGCTGGCAGTGGCTGTGTTGTGGTTGTCATTTTTCAGTGGCTGCTGACAGTGAGCATCTTTTCGGGGGCTGGCTTTGCTCTGTGGGTATTTTCTTTGGAGAGTCATCAGGTTGCTTTATAGCGTTCCTGTTTCTTGCTGAGATTTTTCCCGTTTTTCAGCACCTGGGTCACTTCAGGGTTGGTCTTCCTCCGCTGTCTTTTGTTCTGGAATGTGGACATTTCCCTGTTTCCTTGTACGTCACATTGTTCTGTTCCTCTCCGAGTCTTGCTGAAGGACACGTTCAACTTCTGAACTGTGAATGCTTATCTCCCCTGCAGTAGGGCGCAGCAAACATATCTGTTCAGTTATGTTAGCCTCGGCTGAACACCCCGGTCTCTTCTGCGCATGTTGTTGCTGCTCTCGGGGACCATCAAGTCGGTGCCGAAGCCTATCGGCCCATGGACAGACCAAAGCCCCGCCCGGCCCTGCGCCATCCTCACACTAGTTCACATGTTCAAGTCCATTGCTACAGCCACTGTGTCGTCCATCTCCTTGAGAGTCTTCCTCCTCTGCGCTGCCCCTCTGCTTGACCAAACACGATGTCCTTTTCCAGGGACTGTCTGTCCTGACAATGTGTCCCAAGTACGTGAGATGGCGTCTCACCACCCTTGCGTCTAGGGAGCGCTCTGGCTGCAC